AATCACTTCTGATTGGATCATACTTTTGGAACCGCAGCAGATTTTGAAGAATAGTCCTATTATAAGTGATGATCTCTCAACCGTTGAGTTGTCTGAACGCACCCATTGATACAAATAAAACATCTCAATATATACATTACATATTTTCTTTGTATAAATTATTACTATGATATTTAACAGTGAGAAAAAGATTTTAGAATATTAACAGGAGAATAAATAAAAAAACATACAAATATATATATATATATTTGTATGTTTCTTTATTTATAGGTGAATAAGCTTATGTCATAATTAATAGAGTTTATTCATATAAAACAATATCGCGGTGAAACAATTTGATAATATATAAAAATAATTATATACATATGATACATTAATTTTGACATAAGCTTATTCAACTTTCGTCATATATATCTATTTGTTATAATCTTTTTCTTCTTACTTATGCACTGTTTGTCCTATTTATTTTTTTAATGTGTTTCTATTTCTACATATATATAATTGTATACACAAAATATAGATATAATATAATATAATAATAATCTATTATAATTGTATTTATTTAGTGGCTATATATAATAGNATATAATTTTTCAAACGAGACTTTTACAATATACATTTCTTCCATATACCGAAGACATTATAAATTTTATTTATTACACACATATATACATATACATGTTAGTTGTTAACGTTAGACATTTAGTAAATGGCCAATAGTTTTACGTTTTGAGAAGAAAATTGAAAAGAAGAGTAGTTACATTATCGACACGACGTAGTTGCGAACAACCAATTGCTACTATTTAGTTTGTACGGCGCTCGCTGGCGCTACGAGCAACCGCCCTGCTTGCCCTCCGATCCCCGCGCCTACTCCGCGAATTTTTGACGCCGTCTGTACATACTTGGAAATATTTGAAAATCAGTACACAAGTTATTGTAGAAATCATTTTTCTTAATGCTATTACATCCGAATAAAATAATTTTGAAAAAAACTAATGTAAGAGAGATTCTCATACATTTACTTATTATATACACATATGATAATAAAAATCAAGCTTCTTTATTTTTTTGTTTTGTAAGACTCAAAAGAAAGATCATTTCAATAAATCACGTTTATTTATGATTATTAATAATAATTAGAAGATACAATAAAGAAAATGAGTGTTTAGCAGGCCAACTTTCAATATTTATGAAATTTATCGATCTTGTATGTCTATAAAAGATGCTTTTAAAGATATACGCGCATCTCCGAGCCAATTAAAATCCAACAACAAACAATAATTAAGACTAATAAACGTTCAGTAAGTGAGCAATTATCGTTAAGGCAAATTAAAAGTAGCACGAATATTTCACTGTATGTACAGGAAAAATAAAGCACACTAAACGCTCGGGAGAACAATTAAAATTCTTTTCTTTTTTTGACTCACATGTAAACGGTATTGTTAATCGCAGTGGCCTAAAATACAACGAAACATCTCCTATATTTATATTTTTGCGTATAACTTGATATTACGTCCATCTGCATGCTCTTTGTATATTCTGAGTTTAAGAAGGGAAATGATTATTCATCTCGTATACATATATCAGACCAGCTTTCCATTGTCTGTTCGCGCATGTACGTGTAATATAAGTGCTTTAAATGGCATCAATATCGAAATCATCCTCGTCGGAATCATCGTTTGCGACAGCGGCAGCGGCGGGTTTCGGCGCGGGCGGTGACTGTTGCTGTTGTTGCTTCAAAGATTCTTGTTTGGCTCTATCATCATATTCAATCTGAAAGGAGAACGTAAGAAACATTATGCGTTAAATAAAGCTACACAATATATTAAAATAAAACTTGAAAAAAACACTTTTTACCTCTAAATCGTCATCTTCTTCCTCGGATTCGGAATCCTCCTCCTCTGCAACTTTCAACCATGTTAAAAATGGTACAGCACGGTCATGAATTTCTTGCGACAGATCCTTCGAGACATACTTCTTACTGACTTTGCTCGCCCACTCATCAAATGCCTTCTCTTCCAAAATATCAGCATCATAAAATAACTAAAATACACACAAATGTTTCGAACAATTTTATACAGTTTGTAAGTACATTTCTCATAGAACGTTACAAATAAAATAAATTTTAAAAATGGATCTTGTAATAAGTGATTATAATTTGCAAAGAATTAGATATAACTTAAGTTATATCTAATGTAATCTTAAGTTATATCTGTTCTTCTGTTGTTTAATGACGTTAGAGACGAGAAATTATATACTAACAATCAGTTATATATATATATATATATAGATAGATTAGACAACACTTATTTATCGATTTTAAATAAAATCAATTGATTTATATACTTGACATTGTGTAAATTATATAGATATAGAATACACAATATGATAAAATTTCTATAGTTTCACTCTCAGTTCTTAATTAGTTCTGACTTAGTATTGACGAAATTTTACTCGTGACAATACCTATATTACTTTTTTTAAAAATTTGACAAATTTCAATATTTTAACAAATTGAAAATCATTTGATGTGAAAGAATAAGAACTTTGCATTGTTGAATACTTTCGTTCTGAGTTATTTGGTAATTTAAGGTGCGCTTTTTAATGTTTTTTTTTTTTTTGTATTTTGTCGCTATCTTTTTAGAGTCTACCATTTATATTATTTTATAGCATATCAATTACTAAATACTTAAAATGAAGTCGAAACATACTGATACATTTGAATTTTACAGAACGAAGTTTGTTACATTAATTTGCATAATATTCTGCATCTGGTCTGAATTTGCCGAATTTATACATCTGGATTTATTATTTATTACGAATCCAAGTCATTTATCATAACTTTATCTTATACACTAAAAATTCGTTACAAACGACTTTACTCTTCAATTTTTTTTTTTTATGAAAAGTTAATACAATATTATCGTGATCTTCAGAGAAACAAAATACGCCGCAAACTCAGTAGTGAATATAGTAAATATAGCGTGAAAATCAAGAAATTGAATGTAAAAAGCTTTGTGAATTGAATGTATGAAAAGCTCAGTTGCAGTTTAATTTCCACTAACAAGAGAAATGGTATCTGCTATTTCGAGAATTATTTTACATTTCTACGTGACAGATATTAGTTTTCGACGTATTTTCTAAGTTTTAAGATTATAAACCAATTATATTTTTAAAAGAAATCACAAAAAAGACTTTAAAAGTAAAACTTCTATTAAAATGTTTTCTACAATGTTTTTTTATAAAGTTTATTTTTATACCTTAAAAATTCCAGGAACTTTCGGCATCAGAGCGTCTTTATGCAATGCGATCACCTGCTCAATACCTCTGATCAAATACTTCTGCGCTTTGATGTCGTCATGAGTGAAACGAAGCAACAGAACGCGGTGTTTCTTCGCTTGCGCGGCAATCCCTTGATCGAACAGCAATTCGGCGAGAATCAACGGCGCCTTGGTCTTGATCTCGAGTCGCTCCGCTTCGGCCACAAGTTCCTTATGATTGTTATCGAGTTGGCCAGCGTCGCGACGGCATTTAACCAGTTTGTAGAACATATCCATGCGCTCTTTCTCGCTCTTATCAAGATCATCGCTGATGGTCATACCTTTCGCGCCGTCCGTCAAATCCTGAAGACGAGCTCTAACCGCTTCCTCAGATACATCCACCGCCCATTTGTCGTCGTCTTCTTCGGTATTGACTGTTCTTTCCGGTGGAGGTTCCACTACAATATCCCCAGTGTTGTTGGTCTCACTCTCCGGTGATCCTGATCGATCGTTACCGTTGGTGGTAGCAGTGGCAGCAGTAGCGGCCGTAGCCGCGGGGTCGCCATTGGCGCGCTTCGCTCGTTTGCCACGTTTACCCTCTGTCAACGAGCTACCTTGCACCGCCGGATTCAGACTCGGCGGGTTTTTCAAGATGTAAGTGTTTAACTTATGGTTACTCTCCAGAAGACCATGATGACCACAGGCTTTGCAGCCTTGCGATATCGTCCCCTTCTTAGAGCTAACCATCAGCTCGGTCTCCGGATTGTCACAAGCTGGACAAAGGACATATTTTCGGATAAAACCATCCAACAAATCTTGCAGTTTCGTTGCATCGTGCGAACCATTGACGATAAAGCGTTCGTTCTTAAAATCAAATTGAGTTTGTGCGCCCAGTTCGCAGCCGAAATATTTAGTCGGATATGTAGCTGGACGACCTATGGCTTTTGCTACATCTACCATGTTGACAATCACTGTTTTGATGCCGTTTCCTTTACCTTCCACTTTTGCCTGAATCCGTGGCATCTTGTAACGATAGAAGGCATCGCTGACATTGCGATTGACATTCACGCTCCCCATAGTGACTGCTGTTTACGTCTCTTCTTACTTCTGACAAATTTAACTTCTCCGGCCGACAATAATTTCCAACGAGACGTCGTTGTGAATATATTGACAAGTTGCGACGAAAAGAATTGCGATTAGCTTGAGCAATTCAAGATGACGGTGGACTTGCTGTTCGAGCTTTTTTTCGTTTGTTCCTCAAGTAGGTAACGTCTTTGTCCTGATTCTTCTAGATTTCCTCTGTCGCACGTTTTCTGCCAGCGGCAGTTTGACAGCCAGCAATAGCCAGTAGCAGGCAATGGCTACCTGCTCGCAATGGCTCGTAATAGCAGCGTGTCGAGTCAGGATTGTTCTCCCTTTTCTCAGGATTATAGTCCTTAGCGGTAAGGCGTGCCGCGCCGCTACCCGCTGCTAACACCAGTCACGTTTCTCTGAACGGTTGTAGCTTCCGATGCCTATTACTATCAGAAAAAAAAAACAAGCTTGCCTTTAGCACCAAACAATCGATATAAAATAATTGAAGCATCTCTGCTTTATAGTCTGTAGAGAGAATAGAGCTTACTGCATTATCTACTTTGATATTCTCTCTTAATCTTTTTTAGTATGAAAAGTTGAACGATATCGATCGAAATGGCTTTGAGACTCGCGAATACAAACCTGGAAAATTTTGAGGTCCTGTTTTTGGGCAGGACCAGGTGAAGGTTTAAGAATCGTTGGATGGTATCTTGATGCCTTGGGTGCTGCCTCGGTTTCTTGGCGGTGGTGGGCGGGGTAGGGGTGTAATCTTCAATGATCATACACGCTGCCTGTCCGTTGCTCTTCGCTCTGAGAAAGCCTGGCAGTCGGTCGTACCAGGTTGGTAATAATGACGATGTTAACTCGGTGGTTAACTCGCACGGAAACAAACAATCGTGGGTGGTGATGGTGTTGCCGTTTGATACTCGCCGATCGGATAAAAATGTTCTGCTGTCACCGCCGCCTTTGCTACACGCCAGTCCTTTCCTTTTGGATGATATCCTGGATGTTTCTGTCCGGCATAAAATTATTACATTACTCGATTGCGTCATTTAAAAAGTTAACATAAAATATTTATTTAATATATTATCTAATAATTGTGATTAATTTGATTAGTGCATTATCTTCTCTCATTTCTTCCTTTCTAACCTTGATCTTATTGGGAACATTTCAATCGCAGGATTGAAAATGTATTTTAAATCTAAAGGAAAAAGGGAAAATCTGCTCAAATTGCTTTTATCCATGTGATTCCAATCTGCTGAACGCGCTCATAGCATGTAGAACCATGTGAATAAATTTCATGAAAGACTTTTTAGACACACACGATCATCGAAGTGATGTATGTTTCATCTGGCTTAATGATGCTAACGATCATTTGTACGATTTTTGTGCGGAACAGGCCATGTTAGGATCATGATAGTATAAAATCGTAGACACGGACTAAATGTCTCTCTTGAAGATCGTGAGAACGAAATTGTTACTATGCATCAGCTTCGATGTTTTTCGAGTTGAAGAACAAATGCAGTCGCAATAAAATGGGAGCTCAATCGTGACACAATTTGTTTTATTCTGATTTATTTTTCAACAAGATATTATTTATTATTATTATTAATTTAGTGACGATAATGTGTCAAAGATTAAATCTCACAATTTATTATCTTGCCTATAAATTTTTTTCTATAACAAACAAGTACAATTTTTTAAATACAATATTTACACGTATGTTGATTTTGCAAAAGAAATCAGCAAGGTGAAATATTTTTTAACAATCGTCACACATAAGAGAAACTATATTCTCTCGCATAAGCAAGCGACAGAGAGAACATGCGTATCGATTTAGTATCTACGAGATACTTGACAGTACGATAGAATACAGGGATTAGTGTTACGGTATGCGAGTAATTCTGCACCCGATTGTAGCCAGTGCAGTTGTTTACAATAAGTGTTATTAATATTGATTCCTGCGCTCCATTTACCGCGTTATAAGCGACGCATTCCCGTAGCTACTGTTACGTTAATTCAAGATATATCACGACGCACTAGTTAGCTATTACACTAACTGCCGCAATTATAGGTGCTGTTTTTACAAAACAACGGATTTTTTCAACTATAATGTACAAATATCAATTAATTGAAATAATTAAAATGTAAAAGAATGTAAGGGAGAAATTGTTCTTAAGCTTCTTTCAAATTTAATTTTACAATTTACGCGCTCAGAGTCCGATAATGTTTTTTCTACGTCCTCTAGAGATTAAGCAACGCGAGATAACAATCGTTTGAGGTGACTACCTACTTCCCGGGGAGTTGCACGGTAGAACCGGAAGGATTACCTGCTCGGTACAGACGCATAAGTCGTGATTTGCGACGGTGACGCGGCGGCCGCAGTCGCTGTCGTTGAATATCAGGTGTACCCAGATTTCCTTCTCCAACAACACCCACAAGATTAAATGAGAGAAGACCACGAAGAGGAAGGACAAGATTCGGAGGTGAGAATAATAGGTAGACAGAGAGAAAGAAAGAGAAAGAGAAAGAGAGAGAGGGAAAAAGTGGAGCAGGTCTGTCGCGTTGCCGAGAGTGAATCGATTCGCGCAAGGGGTAGTATAGCGAGATCGCGAGCTCAAGAGGTCGGTCTCTCTCTGTTGATGTAACTAAAGTAGTCGCTCGTCTCTTCGTGATCTGGCGATTCTCGGGGATCCGGGACGGCCTACCCCACGGTGCGCACGCGTTCTCACCGTTGTGGATATTGATCGGCGCGTCGACACCGATCCGCAAACGCCGTCGTCTTTTCTGAGGAGAGAAAGAGAGAGGAGAGGAGAGAGAAAAGAGGAGAAAGGGAGAGAGAGAGAGAGAGTGAGAGAGAGACAGCACGCCTTTGGGCAAGGTCATTCTTCGCTTTCGAGCATCTAAGATTTCGTTGCTGCATTTCTTTCCTACGCGATGATAAGATTCGATTGCTCGAAATAATCTAATATCTATACTATATAGTCAATATATAAATCAAATGTTTGTCATACTAACTCACTAACAGCCAATTTTTTCACTTCTAGATAAGTTTTCGATAACTTTATCTAGAAGATATATCTCAAAATTGGTTCTCCTTATTGGTTCTCAGAGGAATTTATCCAGAGGATAGCTATCGAGAGGTATGAAGAAATCGGCCGTAAGAGAGAAATTTCTCTTGGTAGATAAATTAGATATTTTGTGTGTATATATACATGAATATCAAATTAATTCCGACAGAAGATTGTTTTAAATTATTTCTGAATTTATCTCAAAAACTTCTAATTCTCATTTAATAATTATTACCTAATAATAGTAATTATATACCATGTGATTGATAAAGAAACTTTTTGTATATTATTAGTATAAAATGTAAGAGAAAAACATCTTTGTTCAATTAAATTTCTAACAGATATAATTGCGACAATAATCATAATTACTTATTTATATTTATCAATGGAAAATCTAAGAAGCTATATATAGTGTGTAAGATACGTTTTTAACGGTAAGTTTCGGTAAAGTAAGTAAGGTCGTTATTAAGATAAACATGTATGATTCTTTGTTTAAAAGTGTGCACTTAATTATATATGAAGATCACAAGAGAAGTATTTGATAAGTCACATTTTTGTAATTTTAGAAAAGAGCAATTTTAAAGTTCGAAATGTATATGTATTTCTGTTACACGTTTTATAAAAAAAATTTAATTCTCGGAATCTATCCTTTTCTTGCTTTGGATAATTAAAATACTCCATTTTAACTATCAAATAACATCAAAAACAAAAAATAAAAAAAAATTGACTTCTCAAGTTCTTCTATGGTCTTCATATGTAACATATATAAATTACATATATAACATATTTTGTGTGTGTGTGTAATTTTCTAGACATATTTGACACATTAGACTCTTGTTCGACTTGTTTAATTATTAACTTTGCAATAGTGTTAATAGACACTTTTGCTCACAGCAAAACTCGTTTTTTTGGTGCAATCTTTTTTTGCGATTCGTATTCGGAGAAAGTGGGAACGTGCAGCAACTTGCGATGTTATTTCATTACTAACCGAGAGAGATGACATTCCGACGTAACTGAATAATTATTTTCACGCAAATAATTTCAATAGCAGGTTTGAATAATTTTTTTTTCAATGAATGAATTGAAAACGATAAATTTATTCAAACCGATTAATTCTGGTAAATTCCAGTGTAAATGGGGAAATTTCACAATTCACGGAAAGATGACGTCTGAGAACCGCTCTGCCGACTGATTAAGAGGTATTATTTTGCATCGTTATCAACAACAGTACATCATACGCATACTTAAGGGTCAAAGCAACAAGCTTGGCCAGATAAATACAAAGAAAAACTTTCGTGATTCTCGCATAAACAAAGAAAGAAGAGTATTAATCAGTTATATACGACAATTAATCCTGTGTGCCTTCCTCTTCCCCCTCTCTCTCTTTATCTTTCTTTGATGCAAGTGTTTCACAGTATTTCGAAAACTGTCTCGCGTTTTTCATAAATAAGATAATACAACAATATATTTTAAGAAAAAGTTAAATTCTCTTTATTAATGACGGGAAAAATTTTTGATATCTTGATATCAAAAATTATTATTATTTATATAAGAATATAAAAAAATTCTTGATATCTTGATATTATATAAGAATTTTATATTGCTCATTATGTAACTTTTTTTTAATATGCAATATGTTTCAATTATCTATTCAATTATCTAGGAAACAGGAAATATTATTATGTATCTGTCAAAGTCAATAACGCGAGAAGAGCAATTCGGCGAAATGTTCGAAACTGCAATCGAAACGGTTCGTATTTGCCAGTGTATTTACAAACACGAGTTAAACATAGTCGTCGATTACAACTGAATCGTATTACAAGCAAATTATTACTAGAAAATCGTACTGAAAGAATAAAAAACATATATAGGTATATATATATATATATATATATATATATATATAATATTAGCAATTATCGGCATATTTACAAGATCTAATCGCATTTATACCGCGTATCTCAAATTGAACCCTCTTACATACTCTGAGAAACATATGCCGCTCTACTTGAACAACTACATTGTCTTCAAGTGGAGTCAAACTGAATTCGTGAACTCTTTGTCCGTAGACTAGGTTAGGTTCCTAAACCTATTCAAAAATTTCAAACCGTTGTTTCTATTAGATACTAGTTTTGAGCGACATTTGATGACCCTGAAGAAAAACTTTAGAGCCTTAGATAAAAGATAGAGGATGTTGACAGCCGTCCAATAGCTTCGCGAATATTCAGTTGTAAAATGTGAAAAGGGTCTGACAGACCCAAGTCTATGGAAGACGTTAGTTTTCCGAAAAGTAAGTAAATTTTCAAACTACTTTCAAACTATTTCAAACTATTAATTAAATTTGTTTTAGTTTGAGCACTTAAAAAATATCAATTAATTGATTTTTTTTTTCATAATTTTGTCAAAATTTATGTACTTTTACAGCAATTTATTAAGTTACGGAGTGCAGACTATGCGATTTACGAGAGCTGTCCACCCGTAGAATTAGTAAAAAATTGTTTTTCTTTCAAACGCTTGTATCTTCAAAACTACTTGAAATTTTTTCAATTTGTTTTTTATCGACGCAAAATTGCGTTCAAACTTTTTACTAAAACAAAAATGTCAAAATATTCATTTATTATTAAAATATGTCAAAGATAGGCACTCTAGAAAAATGCATTCTTCGAAAAACGTCTCAAAGACATTGTAAACAATTTTTTAATTTTAAAATTGTTAGAAGACAATATTGTTCTTGAAAGTATGAACAATACTCTACAAAATTGCATTGGAATTTCGTAAAAATCTTAATTTAAAAAATTATCCATTTTTAAACAAAACATCTTTTTTTCGAAAAAAAATTGTCAAATTTTTCTTTAAACGCTTATAATCTTCAAAACTACTGGAAATTTCTCAATCTTTTTTTTATTGTGACACAATCGTTCAAACTTTCAAAAAAAGAAAAATTTAACACACACACACACACACACAAATATTAATTTTTGGCAAAACTATTCAATCTTAAAGTTGTGTAGATCTCACAGACCCATTTTACAGTTCTCGTAGCTTTTTTTTTAGGTCTACAGTCGAAGAGTTAAATTGCATGTTAAAGTCACACATAAAAAATATTAAATATAAAATAATTAGATTAATCTTATATTTGATACTTTCAGAACTCATTATCAAGCTACTCTTAAAGTTTTAATGAAGTGACCTAGAATGTTCACAAAAATGTTCGGTATAAAAAAATAACACTAACATGGTTCAAACTCAAAAATCATGTTTAGGAATTTTTATAATTAGACTAAATGTAATCGAAAGATACATTACTATTGACATTAATATTAATAAGCAAAAGCATAAAATAAGCATTAAATGGCTGCTTTTACGATCTGCAAGTTGTGATCGCTACTGAACACAAAATGGTTATCATTAGATGACGCAGCAAGTTGTACACGTACAAATGAGACGTTTATATGTTTATATTGGTTTAAGTTCAACGTTTTCAGAAATGCACACATTCAGAGGTAGTAATAAAAGTTCTTTGTTAAATAAAACATGATAATAAATAAATATTTAAGTTTTCAAAGAATTTCAAAAAAACGTTAGAAGAAAATTGCGTATCTTCTAATTATCTCGAGGCGAATAATTTTCCAGTTAAATCATTAAAAATAAAAATGCAAAGTAACTATTGAAAAAATTCAAATTAAAAGATAAAATATAATTGTGCTAGGCGCAAATCTATGTAAAAATTTTAAAACGAATATTGAATATATTGAATTTTAAAACAAACAAAAATGAATTTCAATTTTGCTAAGTATAAGTAGTTAGATAAAACAGTTCTTAGCGGAACATGCATTTTCACGTGTAAATTTGTAATTGAAATTATTAGACACATATCACAAGTATCTCGGAAATTTACTACCTCTGGAAACATGTGAATATAAAGTGTGCAAGACAGTAAACGCGCTTCGCTCCAAAAACTGATAAATTTGAAATAAACATGGGTACGAACAGAAATGTCCACACTCACGACCGGCTTAGGAAGGCTCATTTCCTCCTCCGGCGGTGACGTATCAAACGCACACGAGAGACCGCCGGAGAAGGAAGAGTGGGTCCAGCTCATTTCCGCAGAAGAACGGGGGGACCATAACTCGACATGACTCGTTCGCATGCTTCGTGTGTCCAAAATGGCTGGCAGCTAAAATTAGCGTGCGAGCGAGAAGCAAGAAAAAAGAGAGAATGAGAGAGGTTATGGTGCAAATAAGACAACTGGCAAATCGGATCGGTTATTCTCGCGCTGAACTGAGACCGATTAGCATTAAATATATTATTGTATTACTTATCGAAAGCCCGAGAGATGCGAATAAAAGCGAGTATTTACCTCGTTGTCGAAGTAAAGTCATATAAAATGGTATCGCCCTACTGGACGGCCGCTTTCTAGCGTGAAAATCTGCTGCTCGCGAGAGCCCAAAGTCGAGACAGTTGGGTCGTCTTCCTGCCCAAGAGCAGTCCGATACGTCTGGCGATAATGTACTGGTGCGTTGTACTGCGATCACGGGTCGAGGTACCACGAAAGAGAAATATATATATATATATATCTATATATCTATATATATATATAGACAGAAAAAGAGAAAGACAGCTAGATAGATGGTCGAGTGATCCGGCCTTCTGATGCTTTGTCGTCGCCTTTAGTCGCTCTCAATGTCGTCGACGAGTCGGGTCGTCGAGATAACCGTTGCCAATGCTCGCAAATTGACGTGAAGTGGCAATCCCAATCGTTCTAGACTCTAACTGCTTGAAACTCGATACGTGTTAAACTGAAGAATGCTCCAACTAGTGCAGCACGATGTCTACTGATATATATGGCTGCCTACCGTTTTCATTGTAGCTGCTAGCGCCGTTGACTCGACGGTGTAGTATACCATCTGTTATTACTGGTCGTTGATATTTAACTACAGTCGGTATATTTTATTGTTACGTATAAGTTACATAAAAAAAACTTGTAAAACACGAAAACACACAGGAAATATTCTTTATAAAGAAAAAATCCTATATTTATTTATATTATATATATATGTTTATATTTTTACTTCAATAATATAAAATTACATACGTGATAATACACGGAAAAAATGCATATATTACAATATCTCACAACATAATGCCAACTCGTGGTCCTCGACTGTCCGTTCAGACAAGAACGTGCAATTGAAAGTGATTTGTGAAAGCGATGGAGATTAATTCTAACTTACTTTTCTTTAAATGTGTAATCATGTTATATATACAGGGTGTCCCAGAATTGGTGTAACATCTCTCGTAGACAGGTAGAAGGAGTAAAACTGAGTCGATAAGTCCTATATCATTTTGCTAGATTCGCAATAGTTACCGAGATTTTAATTAACAAAGATCCGCGAATAAGCGTGCATCGGACTGTCTTACGCGCGTAGGACAGCCCGGCGCGCTTCGCACAATTACATTTTAATATGTATATGTATAGTATATGCTGTTATATTAGCTCCTCCCATATGTCGCTATGGGTAACGCCGTTAGCGCGCGCAAGACAGCCCGATGCATGCTTATTCGCTGATCTTTGTTAATTAAGATCTCGGTAACTATTGCGAATCTAGCAAAATGGTACAGGACATTTTGACTCAGTTTTACTCCTTCTATTTGTTCACGAGAGATGTTACACCAATTCTGGGACACCCTGTATATATATATATATGTATATATGTAAATGAATGATCTATTTCAGCTTTTGAATACCAAAAAATAGTTCGTATGAGATACGATACTGACCAAAAGGCGAATGTATTTTCAGCCAGAAACATTTTACATGAGAAACTTCAGTAAATTCACAAATTGCCACGCACTCCAATAAAAATCATTTTTTATAAATCAGAAATCTAAAACTCATAATTAAATCTATTCAATTTTATCTTTAAAAATTGCAACAAAACGAAACAGTAAAACATTTTTAATTCAAACTAATATTTTTAAGAAGTAGCATAAAAAAAATTAATGACAAAATTATAGCGCGGAAGAAAAAAACACTCTTTATAATTATTAATTAACATATCAAAATGACTTTGCAAGTTATTCGACGTAAAATATGTTCAAAAACTCGCTGGATAGAACATCGATGTATACTGTCATTTGACCAGTAAATCAAATATATTTGGATATAAATAGTACGAGAACTATATTACAAAAATATACAGCGTCGCTCTACACCGACGCCAGTTACATCTACACTAAATTGTTTTTCAACAATTACAATTTCTTGTCTCTACACTAATTACATAAATACATTATACAGACAAAAAGCGTTAGTGCCTTTACACATGATATTGTTTTCACTGTTAAGATAATATTGGTGCAACTTCATGTGTGAAGACATAAACGCTCCTGCCTATATGTACATCGTTCGCGTATATGTATTAGTTGTGGTACAGAAATAGTTGCGTACATACAAAGTTTACAGAAGAAAATTACTTCGAAGACGAATAAAAACACGGAATATGCATATATTGAACTGGCTTAACATGATTTTTTAGCCTTTCCTAGTAAAACAAATAAAGATACATTAACGCACATTTATTTATGTATACAATCGATTGATGCTTTTGGACAAGAGTAACTGAATAGGTCGATTATAGACTGTAATGAATATGGTCGAAAAGCATTACAATCAAGTTAATCAGCATAATTCCGTTATCCAGCAGGCCTCTATACACAACTGAACTTGACACCTGAAAATTTAACAGCAATGTAAATTATGACAATGTAAATTATAAAAATAAATTTTCTCCGAATTGCTTTCACAATTGTATACATATACAACTTTTTATATTTTTATATAAATCCCGTGTGTCGATAAGAGTATTGCATGTTTGTAATTACCTGCGACACGAGAATTGCTTAGAAACAATTAATTGTTTTTATATTACATCTCATATTACAGGAGAATATATCATTTTATCAGATGAATTGTGAGAAATTGATTGTACGTATAATCGGCACTTAGAGTAAGTAGAGTTAAATATGTGTACCGTCGTCACTGGAGTAACAGTTATGGCAGTGGAGCTTATGGTTTCGGACACGCACGTCGGTTCCCATTAGTCCATCGCCAAGACGCACGTGACATACGCAACATTTGAAGCACTCCATATGATAAAACAATCGTAAACTCTCGATTATCATCGCTGCACCCCGACCTATGACAGATCGCGTAAGATATTATGTGTTTATTAATAATTAAAACAAAAGTTGTTTTAGACCCAATTCGATTACCTAATTCCTCTCCGCAATGCGAACACTTCTTCTTTCCGCTCACGCTTAGCATTTTCTCTTGATTACCGTTATTACTTGCAGTTGGTGCATTTTGTGTTTTCTGAGATTGCACTGTGTATTGCAACGGTTGATGCTGCACGGTTGATACACGGTTGCCACACGGTTCTTGGTTGTGAATTTGTTCTTGCCTAAAACAGAAAAGTTGCTCTTATAATTAATTATGCATATATTATATAATTTATTTATTTATTAAGTAATTATATTTTTATTAATTATAATATATTTATTAGTTATATTTATTAATTAATGAATATAATAAATAAATCACACACATACATTACATGTAGTATATGGGCAAATCCACCGTAGTTTTAACTTTTGTGAAAATTTATTTTTTTCAAATGTGCGGCACATATATCTTATATTGACGAACATGTCTGGAATAGGTTAAAAAACACCAATTTACACGCGTTAATGGTTTTAAGTAAATGGCGCAAAGTTTACCTTGATTGAGGTCGACTTATATTTCTTTCCAATTTTACACAATGCAACCATTTTTAAATTATGCACTCTTAACGTCATAACTAATAAAATTGGGTTTGAAAATTGTGGCCATATGGATTCCGTGGTAAGTTATGGTATAAGAAAGAGTTTACAATTGATGTGGACTGGAAAAATTTTTCTTGGAATATGTGCCAAGGTGATTTGTGGATATTTCAATAAATTCACGCTTTTGAAGGCAATCTTTGATACACTGGTGTGTGTTTCATTTCTGAAGCACAATGTTCAACAACATCTTAAATTTTTTGTTTTTGTATTTACTACAACTTCAGTAACTGAGTTAGTCAATTAACTTAACGGTGCGTATGTAATATTGTTAACTTTATGAAAAATAATATTTTGCAAAAATGGAGAGAGAAGTTTTTCAGCGGCCACCCTTTTTTACGGTTACATGGCACATGATCGACCTCCAGGGAAAAGATGTATGAAAAGATGAATGCAAAAGAACTAACTTTTCAATTTATTACGAAAGCGTTATATAACACGGCGCAGGTACAAAGTTATTAAGAGTGAAACTCAAATTCGAAAGGGACGAAATTTTATGATTTTCTATATTTTTACCGACTCAGTGTACTTTTAAACGCCAGCAGTGACACGAACGTTCTGCATTCTTATACATAGTTATTTCTAGATAGTGTACGAAGAAAAAATACGTCTTGTGCATATGAAAAACAATTCAGATTCATTAGTATAAAAAAAGGTCCATCAAAAGTTAAAACTGCGACGGATTTGCCCATATATGTACAATATACGCACACCCACACACGTTTTTATGTATTTATTATTCTTTACCTTCTTCTTGTTGAAAGAGGTTTGTCCTGTGTTTTATTTTGTACTCTCTGTGTTAGAGTTTGTATAATAGAATCGGGTAGTGGTTTGCTATCTGCTCGAATTAAAGCATTGTATGGTACGGAGGTACCAGTCACATGCGATTGAGATTTACGCATCACTTGATTTCTTTCGTTAATTCTCCTTTGTTCTGCCTCCTATTGAAAAACCATATAATTAAGATAATAAGAGAATCAATGAATTTTATTAGAAACAATGTAGTAAATTTAACGGTCTTTCACAAGTAAATATTAATAATAATATTTGTATTTCTATCTTTACAAGTGAAATATTTCTATTCTCATTAAAGCCTTCATTAGCCACATTCCATTTGTAAAGATATAAACGTTATTAGTGACATCCAAGATCTTTGCTTGTTAAAGATCGTCTGGAATTATCATATTATTTCTTATACAATACCAAACGCTTTTATATATCATATCATAATATCAATGATATAAGATTTATTTACATTTTTCTACTCAACTGACTATGAGTGTAAAGTCGAAATCCTGCTTGCAAATACTTTTAATTAATTATGTATATTATTTAATGAAAACAAACCTGAATAAGCCAATGTTGGTAATTTACATCATGAGCACCTCTTGGCACGTCACTCTTTCTTCGTTGCACCCACTGATCACCTTGAACGAGTCGCGGTCGCGGTACCGCGCTTAAGGCCTGTAATGTTTGCTTAGACATTTGTTGGCTAGCGTGATTTGTGAGCGTTATGGTCGATGAACTTTCCAGAATCGATGCATTTACTTGTTGAGGAATCGAATCCGCGGATGGTATACGGCTGTTTCTGTGATTTTTAAACAAGAAACTTTAATAATAGCGATTATTGTGTACTAATGTAGCAATAAATATTTGTTTTATATTACACTATTATGAAAAGTTGGTTTCTTTATATGTATATGACGTACTAAAATAAAATTTTAACACAGCATAGCAAAAGTATACATAATTTACTACATATTACACTAACCTAATGGTAACATCTCTCTGTTTTTGATCTGGCATACGTGGTTTGGTAAGCGGTACTGGCGGGGGTGGTGGTCTTCTTTTTGGAGCGTCTTGGAATTGCAAGTTCGGCATCGAGGATCTGTAATTTACTGTAGCAGGAACATAATATTTATATTGCTGCGTATTTTTAATGGAATTCTGCGCAACGTCCTGCAAAGATTTCCACTGTTCCTGTAGTTGTTCGACCAGTCTTTGTTGCTTTTGCTCACGATAAGCCAAGTTATTGCGTTGCCTTTTTAATTCTTCTTGCTCTAGCTGCAAAAGTTCTCTTTCCACTCGTAGTACTTCCTATAATGATATATAATATTAAATAAATTCTTATTATTAGTTTGAATTCAAGTAGAGTAACGGGCTTGTCAAACTGGTTGCAGGGTGTTTTGCAATAAATGTCAACAATATTAGTGATCCATACGTTTCGACTTTATTGTTTTAAGTCATCTTCAGTAGTTTGTAATTCTTACATTCCTTAATATGACGATATAACAGAGATGACGACAGTCGTGACGATAATTTCAAAGTAATAACATCCACACACTCGTTAATACATCAACTTATGTTATATCGTCATGTTAAGAAATGTAAGAATTACAAATCACTGAAGATGACTTAAAACAATAAAGTCGAAACGTATGGATCACTAATATTGTTGATATTTATTGCAAAACACCCTGCAACCGATTCGACAAGCCCGTTGCTCTACTTGAATTCAAATTTTATTGTTCACGAACCAGAGGACACCTCACCACACACCAAGCTTACTTATTATTAGTATTATAAAAATTACTACGCCATTTTCTTGAATACAAATTACATTGCTAATTCTACTGCGCTATTAGATTTATATTTAAAAAGGAAAGGACACCAGGGTGACTTCAAAATAAAGCGGAAACTCTAATCAGAACTATAAAAATTTAATATTGAAATACTAGTTTAACACGCGGCATTTTATTAAAAATTCTTATTTCCAAACCGTAATGATCGCACAAATCAATATAAGATTTAAATCTTAATATCATTACAATTATTTATTTCAATTGCCAAGAGTCCAAAAAAGCTGATAACCGTCAAAAGAAAAGCTTTTCAAAAAGACCTTTTTTATTGTTGAATATCTCAGCCACAAATAATTTGTTTTTTTTTTATTTTTTAAAATTGATTGCCACTAGAATATTGTGTGTAAACATTTAAAAATTTAAATGTCTTAATAGATTAGGAACAACATAAATATTGATATTTTTTTTTCATGCTTTCGCGGTGTGTTGTATTAACATAAATACTGTTAAAAATACTTCGATTTTTTCGATCCTAGTGTTTCTTTTGAAATAAAACAGTCAATAAAAATGCTTTTAATTTAAACTAAAAAAATATTAATTTAGAAATACTCAAATAGATTTCGAAATATTTTTAAACAAATTTCGAAACATTTCAAAAACTTATTATTTTCGATTTTATCGTTATATCTTTATATATACCATGTTCTGTTATAACACACACTACTGTAATAAGAGTAATAGTACAATAAAATAATCCACTAATTAATTAATCTATAAAATATTAATAAGATATTAAAAATATTTTTAAGAATTAATAAAATAATCTACTGATTAATTCATTTATAAAAGACTATTACTAATCTAAACAAAAAAAAATTAACAGAAGAAAACTAGCTTCATATAGGATATTAGGAAAATTAAAACAAAGAAATACTACTATATAAGAAATAAGAAATATGTAAGAAATATACAGAATATTCAAATATGAATATTTATTTATTTTAAAAGTTTAGTACAAGCAAGCGATTAAAACCATTAAAAAGTGATAAGTCACAACCGTTGTTGTCTTACCCCAGAAGGAAATTCATCTTCGTTGCTGCTCAACCCAGCACCAACCAATGTCTTGTTCTGTGAATAATTATCAATAATCCCTGTGTCAATATATGTGTACCACGCTATGTAATTGATCTACACTACAGAACGATCCTTCGGGCAATATTATAGTATCAAGCGTAACTGATTTACAAAAGTATCGATAAAAAAATTATTCAAAAAGAATGAAGATAACATTGCCTCAATAATATTTCTAAGCTATCAGTTAAAACTGTGTGCTTCGCTACAAGAAATTTGTGCCATTGGTTTCAAGTTGTTCGAAAGCATCTGACAAAAACGTTATAAAAAGAAACATTTTTTTCAAAAGATAGCAAAGAATTATTATAACTTCTTGCTACCAGCTATCTACTCACTCTAACTTTTTCCTACTACGTATACTTATAAATATCAGCCTTTTCTTTTCTCTACAATATCGACCGAAGAACAAAGCCAAGCGCGGTTTGGCTCACCTCTTGCTCGCGAATCTGATTTTCTATCGTTCGGATGCGCATCTCCTCCTTGCGACACGCATCAGCGACTCTTCGTTCCTTCTCTTCAATTTTGTTCTGCATTCTCAGCTGTTCCGACTGCATCTCGGTTTTCTTGCCGTCTTTCCTCTTGTCTTCGACATATTTTGCTTTCTCCTCTGCTGTTCCCGCGTTGATCTCCCGCTGTTTCGCTGTCTCATTGTGTTGCTGTTGCTCTTGCTCGCGCGACGAAATATCTTCTTGCTTGCGTGCGTTGTCGTCCCTCTTGCGAAACGCGTCTTCATTGCAACGCAGTATCGCCTCTCTCTCCAGCTGCATCTTCTCTTCCTCAAGCTCGCGCAATTTGTGGGCCAGCCTTTCCCCCAAGTCACTGTCGCATCGTTGATGTATTTCATGATTTACTTTGTTCTCGATTTTACTTTGTTCACGCGTGGTTTTTTTACACAAGAAATCCAAACAAATATTTAAAAGACATAACGTCTTTTCTATATCTTTTAAAAAATTTTCAGAGAAGACCAAATTATTCGTACCTGCTGTACTCGCGATTATCTCCATATCGCCACTGTTCCTCCTTCTCCAAAACTTCGATGATTTCTCGTTCCTTCTTTGTGATTTCGTCTTCTTCAGACGAAGTCACACTGGCGCCAAATGGCTCGCTACTCTGCCTGCTGTGCTGCGACATGTCAGGACTCACAGGTTGCTTCGCCCAATCTTCGACGTGGCCTAGTTCAACGCCGGAGTCCCTCTCGTGGCTCGAATCTTGTTCGTAGTTGCTGTCAGTGTCGTAGGAACGACGATGCAGTTGTTCGATGCGTCTTTCCTCAGCAAGAATTGCTGCCATGTTCGGTGGTTTTGTCAACGTTAATTCAGGCTCAAGATCATCGTCATTGACCTGATAACATCAAGGATTAATGAATAAAAATAATTAGAATTATATATAATAGAAGATTACAAAATACACCGGAAATAATCAAAGTTACAAATAAGAAAAATAAAAATAGAGAGAGAAAAGTGGACAAATATCTATAACATCAGTTTTACCTAAATAAAATAGATAGAATAAACATAATTTTGGATTTTTTCTTACCCCCTCAATACCGAGAAAATCCGAACGTCTTGTGCGTAATTCTTTCTTTATCCTGCGAGTGGAATTCAATCTTTTGAGCGGTTCTGGCGGAGGATCTTTCTCATCGTCACTAATGTCCACCGGAGGCGGAGGCGGTTTCTCCTTCGGAGGTTCCACGCTTGTTGGTGGATTTAAAAGGAAAGACTGATCAGCAATTATCTCCTCATCAGTAGACAAAGTAAGTGGAAGAATCTGCACAAATATGTAAGTAATTAATTACATACAAACAAACGAATATATTGCGGATGTTTCCTGAACCCGTGAAGTTTTGTATTCTTAAAAATGTCTCATTTCCCGTAACAAATCTTGTGTTCCTTAAAGAAAAAAATTAAACTTCCACAAAATTCGACTTATAATCTACCGACCTGTTTGGAAATCGGCGAGGCTGGACTGGAGCTGTTCAATGTGTCGATTAAATTGAGTTCCTGGTTAGTTGTATTCAAATTCGCTGATTGTTCCAGCGAATAGTTGGGAGTCGACGTAACAATCGTATTGACCGGTGCATCGTGAACATCGCTGTCCGTAACACAAGTTCTCATGGTGGTCATGGCGGGCATCCCGATACTCGTCGGCGTTTCCTGCGTGATTTCCTGCGGCTCGTGGTCGACTGCCGAAGCCACTGGATGGTTCGTCGCAGCAACAACCTCCGTCTCTTCCTCTGCTTTCTCGATTACGATCCGTTCCTGAGAAGAGACGAGTCGTAATGTAACCGGGAACCGTACGTAAAATGCGGGTTCGGTCTCGCACCATGTGCCGCACAAATTTTGCAACGCTACATTCTATGCAAATCGGTGGATCGTCTCTACAGCAGCGTTTCTCAAATCCGTGAATATTAGAAAAAATAAATTTTGACTAAGAAATAAGCCGTGTACGTGCTCCCATCAAACAAGCTTCAATAAAGTGAATTTTTTCATGACCTGGATGTGACCAGATTCTCGGAGAAATGTCTGAGACGTGTTTCGTCATGCCGTAATTAAGGTCAATTAAAGTAAAAGTGACAACGCGATGAACGTGACATTGCAATGTAACGATTAAATTATTATTTAATTTTTTATTATTTTATATTTATTTCCGTTTTTGTTAATAGAAGTGTTTAAAAAAGCACATATCTTTTATAACATTATCAAAAAAATAATAGCGCTTAAATGTGAGGTAAGATTAAGCTCTCAAATTAACATTTTTTTATAACGGTTTTAAAGAACATTGTAAAAATTTGTTTGTAGATTTTATGAAATAATCGTCACATTGAATGACATAATGCAATAACGTGCTTTAAGACGTAACGATATCATTGTCGCGTTTCTTCCCAGAACAGGAGAGTCTCATGAAAAATGTTAGGAAAACATTTCACGCGCTGAATGTGGCAATTCTTGCCGTGGGAACACGCGGGTGCATTTTACCAGGCCAGTGCGTGTTGCGTAATGTCGTACGCTCGATGAATCTCCGCGAATCCTGCAATTACGTGCTTTTCTCTACTATTTAAAGCGTTTTTACGAAGACGATATAAGCGATATTGATTGATGACAAATAACGACTTAAGAAACGCTGAGTTTTAGGTAATGAAACAACAATATAATTGTTTTGTACAACATGTTGGCATAAATAATGCAAATGTGCCAAATGTGATGGATAATGACGTAATGATCGGAAAAATATTGTTGGATAAGCGGAATTGTTAAAATCTTAATATAAAAGTTTTTTACATGCATTTTTGTTTTTCGATAAATATGTATGTGAAGCACATAGTTTCGAGATAATAAGCGACTGAAAAAAGCAATTTCTGTCTAAGAAGTTTCAAAAATATTATACAAAAGTAATAAGTTCTAAAATACATGTAAGAATATTGTTAAAAAACAACTCAACTATAAACTCGTGTATAAAAGCAAATCATGTGTTTGAATTAATAATGTGTCAGATATGTATTTTGAGAAATATGCATTGAAAAAAAAACAATTTGTTTCTCAACTTTATCAAAGCGATATTATTTCCTTAGAAACGTTATCACAGTTCCATACTGATAACCTATCACTAAGCTAGTAATATTACAGTTTTTAAATTGCAAAATGTAAAGGTTATATCAGCGCAGCGCGATTGAAGCTCGACTATCGCTCCACTTGTAAACATTACACACGGCCAAATTAAAATTTCGCACTTCACATCCGTTTAGTAGTATCTCTTACCTCACGAGTTATAATTGCATGCAAGGATGAGCACAAAAAAGAAGGGAAGGAAAAAACTACTATACTTTTACTTTCTTAAGTTACAAGCGGTATATTCGTGCACACTACTGCACACGTCTCAAAAATCAGCGCGGCCGTTGGATCACCGTGCTCTCAGGTGACTGAACAAAAGGCAGCCGCAGCACACGAGAGGTCTTTCAGCGGTTGGGGTAGATAAGAGAGCGAGTTATCTAGCTTCTGTTATCGGGACACCGAAATTCTTCGATGCAGACTCGACGCGATATCAAACTCATCGTCATTTGAATGTAAATAAGATTCCAGATGAAATTGATGTAACTCCACATCAGCATGTCTTATATTGCTCGTAACCAGATGGGTTTTAGAATTTACGCGCGTGGTACGTAAACTAAATACTCTCACAATAACAACTCTTCGCAGACAGAATGGGTCTCCCAGACCCATTCAAAAACTGCGCATCAGCGAAAATTAGTTTCGTTTTTTTTTTTTTTTTATCGACGCAGAATCGTTCAAACTTTCGATTTAAAAAAAAACAAAATTGAAAAAATATTGATTTTTGCGAAGATATTCGATTTTAAAGTCGCGTGGGTCTCACAAAGCCTAGTCTGTCCAACTAGTCATCATTTTTTATGTCTGTTTACTTTTGAAAGAATAATTATGACTATTTTTTTATCTTCATCTAAATTATGTATTTATTTGGCAAGTTTAATCAGCAGAGATTTTAATTATTTTTTTATTGCAAAATTTTGAATAAGTAATCAACGATTTTTTTCACCAAAATAAAGGAAAATAACAAGTAGAACGGAACATTTTGCGTGCTTCGAAGATAGGTCCTGAAATACAACGAGCTATGTACATGGCCATGCGTGTGTCTCGTGAGATTGCCACTCGTCTTGTGGCGTTTACTAAAATAAAAGCCGCGGTAACCCCTTGAGGCTAACACACAACTCAGGCAAATCATCACTTGCTTCGATATAATCAAAAATACATATGGGGACGTCTTACCTCTCTTCGGTGCGTCAAGGACGAGACACGTGGTAAGAAAGCGAGCGCGCGAGTCACGCGCCGACAAACGAGCAACAATCCGTTGATGGAAATATCGTTGACGGCGACACGGCTCAAAGTGGCTTTTATCACGGTCAGCAAGAGCCCTCTTTCTTTACAATTAAATGTCACCGCGATTGACCTATGACTCCGCGCGTCACGAGGACGATACGGCGACGTATTTATCGTACTTTGAACGTAACTAAAAGTGCATACTTGTGCTCCCTATTAACCGCGAGATAAACTGCATCAAGTACTCTTGACCAATTTGATTAATAAACGTATTTAATTTACCGTTAATCAGGAAAAATATTTTACAACTAAAATTTGTGAACACGTCTTTCGAGCAATTTAAAATCGATTTTTCAACAAAAAAATGTCAAAACAAACATCTGTCATCAAGCAAAAATTACAAAAATTAACGAGCAACTTCGAACTATCTGTTCAAATAAAAACCACACGAAAATGTGAGAAAAAAAATACAATGTGGCGAAAATTTCTTTGCAGTTTTTATGTATTTGATAGTTCGTCTTCTCTCTTGACCATTATAAAGATCCGTGACAATCAGTCATAATCGCGCGTCAAGCGCCGGCTAGAAAGTTCTATCAAAATTGCTACAGTTCAAAACCGTTACGAGTGAAGCAGTTTTTATTCGAGTAATAATTGTGGTTTTTTTTTTTTTTTTTGGTTTTTGATTAATCGTTCTAATCGACTTAATACTACGATTGATCGCATTCGACAATTAAGATGAAGCGATTGAACATTATCACAATGATTTATTTCTCTCTTACGATCGATTTCAATTAACTGTGATTTAATTACTTGTCTCTCTCTCTCTCTCCTCCGCTGTCGGAAAGCACAAAGTAATTTAAATTCGAGATCACAGTTAATCGATGCTACTAAATAAGACAGCTATTGTATCTTCTTCGAACGGCATATAAATTATATTTGGCAGCACTTGGGCATCTGCTGGATGCGTCGCAGACATCGGTAATACCGTAACAGTAAACTTTATTTAATAAACTGTTGTGCCGTTATAACGTATAGGCAGAGAGTCGTTTTTATACGCTGCAATTTCCGTGTGTGTATTATAATATTGTACAGTCCGATTTCTAGCGTTAAACGAGATTAACTTGTACGTTCGCATCTGCGCTCGCGCCTATTTACATAATCGACAGATGTAGACTTCCAATTTGATGCAATCACGAATTTTTGTGTGCCGCTGACATAGTAATTCGTGCGTCATGTTAATGTCTCAGAGCGATTTTTCCTCGAGAGCAGCACTCTCTCGCGACCGGATGTAATTCTTATAAAAATGTAAATTGTTGAAGGCAGAAGCTGTACAACCGCATTGCAGAACGTGTTTCGTCGGCTGCGACAGACACAGTTTGGAACGCAAGTAGAACCGAAGCGACAACAGAATCACCTCCGAAACCCAACATTCTCTCTCTCTCTTTCTCTCAGCGCTTCACACACACTCAAGAGTATGCAAGTAGCTCGACAATGTATACTTTATATACAAGATCTAGCACGGCTTGAGATCTAGAGGCTGATCCGAAAGCGGAGGACAGTACGTGTTGTTATATTTTATATACGATCGAAACAACAAGAAAGTCTTCGCAGTTTTAGGATTTTTTCAATGCGTTGTCGACTTGCTGATCGTGCCTAACCTCGTAGCTTTGCTTGTCCGCGCCGACGCGGTTCACCGTGATGAATGGAGTCACCGGCGGCGTCGTGGAAGTCTTGCCCTGAGGTACCACCACCTTCTCGCACACCTCCACAACGGTTCGACGTCGTTCCGCAGGTAGCTGCGCTTCTTCGTGGCGTCTCGTTGATGGGAGTCTCGACGGGGAAGAGGATGAAGACGAGGATTGTTCCGTTAAACTTACTTGCGAGGGCGCGAAAGATTCCGGCGTTTCGCACGTTCTCGGAATCGAAAAGGAAATTTGACTCGTCGAGGATTTGTTAATTGCGTTGCATGTTTTTGAGGTCGACGTTTTGACCGCGACGGCGGGCACGACACTGGACAACGTCAAGACAGAGTCAGAACTCGACGGCGAGGATTTGGTTTTCCGAGGAAGAGGAGTGGGAATTTTGGACGTTGTTCGGGACGTGGTCGCGGGTTTGAAACACGACGAATTAGTTTCGATAGGGAGACTAGTTTGAACGGTCGTCGTTTTAATCGAGGAAAACGATACTTGGTAAGTTTCCACGTTGGAGTTGTCCGAGGACGGCAGAGATGTGAGATTGGAAGAGTGTTCCTTAAAGAGGTTCTGCCGTTTTGATTGGCCAGCGAATTTCGGTCTTGCTTGTTCAATAGAGAGTTTCAAACTAGCCGACACTACGGACTCATTGGGACTCGGTTCGGAATCTGTCTTGAGCTCGATCGCGTCTTTGTCGAATGCGCGCGATTTCGAAAGACTCTCGAGAGACATTTCTCGCTTAGGTACTTTGGGGTTCGTGTGGATAATCGCGTGAGGAACGGAAATATTAGACGAACAAAGTGCATTAGAATTAGTAGTAGTGGTTTCTACAAGTGTCTGCGGCTGCGGTTTGTTAGTCGATAGTTCCCCAGAGATGTCAGCAGTACCCTACAGAATCAGAGAGTTAGGACTCGATTTATAGTTATATTCAAAACCCATAACCAGAAGAAAGAAAAAAACCATAGAAAGAAAAGCCGATAGCCCAAAAGAAGAATTACACAATGCTTGTTTGATTCATCGGGTGCACGAGATTGTATCGGAAGAATATGTATTGCTCGAGTGTAATGGAACATTTCGCAGTTAAAGATAAGTCTTCAAAAACTATTCGATTCAAATTATTTTGTCTATAATTTGGACAAATCTGCGGGATGTTGAAACAGAAATACAATTGAATGTGGAATTCCACTATTCGGAGACTTCAAAATCTTTTTCAAATATAATTTTCGTTACCTACCTTGTTTATCGCTACTGTCTCCCGGTGACTGGCGAACTGTGAGTGAGTAGTGTCGCTCGATGTTAACACGTCCTCTTGAACTCCGGACGTAAGCTTAACTCTCTCTTCGACGACGGCTTCTCGTCGTTCGACGGTCGCGCCACTGGTATGCTGCACGATCTCCTCGTCGATCGGCTCATCCGCTTGGCTGACCGAGCAGCTTACGTCTGCCGTGTGGATGCCCGAGTCTTCACGGTCTGTATCGTTGAGAAGTTCCGCGGACGACGACGAAGCGGGATATCGCCGTCCGTAATCGAGCTCTTCGAGGCTCTGAACGCGTTCAAACGTGTCGGGACCGCTGGAAGCGTCCGCGTCGAGAGAATCCAAGCTTCTGTGAAAGACAGCCCGCGGCACGCGATACTCCGAATCGGGTGATGAGCTTCTCTCGCTAGGTGTCGAGGTGTCGACTCTGCTCTCCTGATCGCGGAAGCAGAGTAAGTGCTTGGCGACATGCGCGGGTCCCCGTTTGTCAGTTATGTCCTTGCTTCTAACGGCGTCTAGGGCGCTGAGACGGTCCTTGATCGTCCTGGCGGTGAGCTCGCCGTTGTGCGAACGTAACTCACTCGTCGCGGCCGGTACCGAAGACTCGTCGCTACTGCTGTACTTTTCCAGCGTGGACAGTCTATCCCGTAGAGGCTTTACTGTTTCCAGATCCTCTGTACTGAGCTTGCGGTGAACGGAACTCTTGTTCTCTCGCTCCGAAGCTTGCTTTTCCAGATGCGTAAGCCTCTCGCGAATCGAGCTCATGTCGCCGGACAACCGGTTGAGCGTCTTGCTGGTGATCTTGTCGCCGTTCTCCGTCTCGTACTTCTGCCTCTCAAGACTCGACAGCCTTTCCTTGATCGACTTCGTGCTGGTGAAGTCACCGGACAACCTATTATTCGCTTTGCTGTCGTTACTTTTCTGCGACGCTTTCTCGAACACCTCGCGCCTCTTCAGTATGTCGATTTTCACTATCGGAGTTTTACTGCTGTCATCATTCAAATTTGTTTTCGAACCGTTCAGCGATGACTTGGCCGCTTCCAGCTTGGAGTCGATCCCAGTCAAAGATCTCCTCGGTATATTCTGCGACACCCTCGACACATAACCGCGAATGGCGCCCTCGTATGTATACTCTTCCGGTTCGGGTGAGCTCGTCGTCGCGGTAGTGGTGGAATCGTACTCCTGATTGTGATTACCGTGAAAACTGCTACCAAACGCTTTTCTCGCGGTAGACGTTGTCGTTGTTACTGTTGTTGCAGTGACGGTCGGCATCGACGCGGTTGTCGTCGTTGTTTTTGCGCTCGATGTCGTTATTGTGGCTGTTGACGCAATTGTTGTCGCTAATGTAGTCGTGAGTATCGTTGCTGTCGTCGTTGTAGCGGTTGTAGACATATCGGTGACGTTATCTACATCCGAATGGCTCTTCTCGATCTCGCTGTCCCTGTCGCTCTAAATTAGAGTAAACGACCAATGTTAAATTCAATAGGTATATTTCTGTACACATGTTTTTTTATTTGTAATTATAAAAATACAAATGTTGTTTTAATTAATAATTAACTGAGAATCATCTCGGGCTCTGAAGTCTTGAAACTAATTGTTGGAGTTGCTGTGACTAAGAGAAGCGATGAAATCAAAAATTATCTCCGTCTTATTTACAGTTTATTATTTAATTTAACCAAGGTTTATATTTACATAAACAGGGATAAGATAGAGAGGAGAAAGAAGTAAGTCACAAAAGACTTGTGACGCACAGCAGCAGCTATATTAGTTAGTTAGTTATCAGTTATAAGAGTTCGAGGAGTAAAGATATACCTTCCGTACGCGTATAATTCATTAAAGAGAATATTAAGTAAAAACAAAGACTTGATAATTTTATATGTGTCCTTTTCACCCATAATCCCAATAGGTTATGGGCCCAGGATACGTTAAAGCACACTGCGTAGTATTGTGTTCTGTGTGACATTGATTTTTTGTTTGAAATTGTTTTCAACAATGGAGAAGTTACCAGTGAAACGAAACATCAAGATTTTTGATGGTGAAAGGTACACTCATTGGAAAATAAGAATTCGTGCGTTGTTAACGAATCTCGATGTGATCTCAGTGATTGACAAAGATCTAACAGATAAAGATGACACTTGGAAGAAAAATGACTCTACTGCTAAAAGTGTTATTTTGAATTACCTATCAGACTCGTTGATTTCAATTATAACACCTGAGAGTACTGCGAAGGAAAATTTTCAAAAATTGGACAATTTGTACGAACGGAAAAGTGTCGCGAATCAACTCGCTCTGCGGAAGAAATTGCTCAATTTGAAATTGCAAGATGACACAACGTTAACAAAACATTTTACGGTCTTTGATGAATTAATCATTGAATTATCGGGAGCGGGTGCTAAATTAGATGAGACTGACAAAATATCTCACATATTGTTAACATTGCCGGTCTCTTATAACGCCGTGATAACGTCACTCGAAACACTATCGCTAACAGAGAAAGATTTGAGTTTGGCATTTGTGAAGACACGACTATTGGACCATGAAGTGAAATTGATGAGTGAGAACAATGATATAAGTGTTAAAGTACTTCACGTTGAAACGAAAGATGACAAAGTAAAGAAGAACAATTTTGACTCAACTAAACGTTAGAAAAATCGTCAAAATTACAAAATTTCTGGAAGCAGATTCAATAGGTTCAGGAATAACAGATACAGGAGGTACTCAAAAGATGGCTGTTATCAGTGTGGTAGAAAGGGACACATGAAGAATGACTGTATTTATTACAAAAGAGAACTTGAGCAAAAATAAAAAAAAAACCAGGAACACTACAACAGTGCAGCTAATTGATGCCTCTCAGTCAAGCAGTAAGAGATCTAGATGTTTGTTTATGGCTGGAAATTTTAAAGAGGATGGAAATGATAAAGATAAAATCAAATTTTTATTGGACTCTGAAGCATCGGATCATGTGATTAATCGAGAGGACTTGAGCGGTGATTTCACGGAGCTGAAAAATCCAATTATAATCTCAGTGGCTAAAAATGGAATCTTTGTACTGGCAACAAAGCGGGGTACACTCAACGTAACAACTGATTTAGGAATCCAGGGAACACTACAAGATGTACTGTACTCGCCAGAAGTATCGTACAATTTGCTGTCCGTCAACAAAATGCGTGAAGCTGGGATGACAATTATGTTTGACAAAAAGAGAGTTGAAATTCTACAAGGTGGTAAGAAGGTAGCAACGGGTAAGTCAGTGAATAATCTAATTGCTATAGACTTTGTACCTGAAACTAGTAGAATCAATTCTCTTTCTCACGTGTATGCTACTAAGAAAATTGATTATGAGTTGTGGCATCAACGCTTGGGTCACATAAGTAAGAATAAACTTTTAAAATTAAAGAGTAAACAAATGATTGGCGATGTAGAACTATTGGGACAAATTATACCAAGTGAAAATTTGTGTGAACCCTGTATAAAAGGTAAACAAGCACGGTTGCCATTCAACAAATTTAAAGATAAGAGTCAGGTACAAAGGCCTCTATTCATTGTGCATTCGGATGTCTGCAGTCCAGTCACTCCACCGGCTAATAATAACAAAAATTATTACGCGTCATTTATTGATGAATACACCCACTATTGCGTTACTTATCTTATCTTGTTAACAGCAAAATCAGAAGTATTTTCAGTTTTTAAAGATTACGTTGCTAAAAGTGAGACTCAGTTCAATTTAAAAATTGCCCATTTATATTGCGACAATGGTCGGGAGTATTTGTCAAATGAGATGAAGGATTATTGTAAAGAAAAAGGTATTAGTTATCACTTGACTGTTCCACATACTCCACAGCAAAACGGTGCAGCAGAACGAATAAATAGAACAATAACCGAAAAAGCTCGTACAATGATTGTTGGTTGGCAGATTTAGATAAAGTATTATGGGATGACGTGGTTTTTGTTGCCACTTAATCGAGTAAATTGAATTCGGAAAACTCGAGTAGTAGTGACGGTTCGGTTGTAACGGACGAAACGCAAAGTAAACAAATAAATAATCCAAACAAGTCTCCTGACACGCGTGCTGGTAAACGAGTATTCTCAGAACCAAGAAGGAGTGACAGACTGGCAAAACGTCCGCATGTATCATATAACGAAAATAATATACCAAATGATTATCTTATGTACACACACTCAGTAGTGTGCGGTATCCCTAATTCATATCACGAAATAAAAGGTAGAGACGATAGAGATCGATGGGAACGTGCTTCAAGAAGAAATTAATTCTCTTGAACTTAATAATACGTGGACTCTAGTACCACGACCTGAAAATAAAAACATAGTTGATTGTAAGTGGGTATTTACGATTAAAAATGATGAGCATAGAAACCCATTGAAATATAAAGCACGAGTAGTAGCAAAAGGGTTTAGCCAAGAATACTTAGTAGATTATAGTGAAACTTTTGCACCAGTAGCTAGAGTTTCTAGTTTCAGATTCATTCTTGCACTTGCAAATCAGTTTGATCTATTGATACATCATATGGATGTCAAAACAGCATTTCTCAATGGTGAATTAGAAGAGGAAATTTTCATGAGAGTTCCTGAAGGTATCACAAGTGCTAGTAATCAAGTGTGCAAATTAAACAAAGCTTTGTATAGATTGAAACAAGCAGCAAGATGCTGGTTCAAGAAATTTGAACAAGAACTATTAAAAATAGGTTTTAAAGATTCAGAAGCTGATCGATGTATTTATTTTTTTTTAGATAGAGGAAGTATTTTGGAAAATATTTATGCAGTATTATATGTAGATGATCTTAACATTGCCACAGCTAAAATTGAAACGATAAACAGGTTTTAGAAGTATTTAATGCAAAAATTAAAAATAGTAGATTTGAAAGAGATTAAATTATTTCTGGGAATTAAGATCAGCAGAGAAAAAGGGAAAATAACTTTAGATCAAAGTGGATATATAAAAACAGTTCTAAATAAATTCAATATGCATGACTGCAGAACAAATGAGCGACGGATAAAACTTTTAGAAACGTACTCAGGAAGGTCATATTTACAATGTATCAAAACGGGAAGCCGATTGGAGGGGTCTACCCTATTGTAAACATTTACCGACCCCGAATACTCCTCTAACTAATTTTTAAAATATTGCGAAAAAAACTCCTCAGCCAGGAGTCGAACCTGGAATCTCTGGCTTTCCGGACCGTCGCCTTCCCTGTTAGGCCTTCAGTTGTACTGAAAATCATACGCGCCTATAAAAAAGGCATGAAAATCACCTGATCGCAAGAAGCTGTGTCATATGCCGCTCGCTTGTTTACTCCGCCTCTCATTGCCAAGACATTGCATGAGTAAGTCACTTTTTTTACAACTGGAAATTATCACGCCTACAGAGTCTCGGTCATCGCTTCCCACACGCTTATTGGCTCACATTCAGTAATTAATAACTCAATAAATATTACGAATTTTACAAAATAGTAAATGACTTTTTTTTCAGATTGACTCAATCTATCTTCCCACTTCGGCTGTGTCACAAGTTTTCAGAACACCTTGTACATTATATCATATTTATATTAAATTTAAAAACTTCGATAACTGTTATAAAAATTTTCATATTATTGAGAAATTAGATCGGAAAATTGCGAAAAAATATATTTAATAAATATCATTTAATAGCCTCAAAGGTAAAAATCAATACAAACGATTTGCTCATTTTGATAGATGCGTACCAGAACACTGTGTGTGTCGTCATGCGTGTCGCCGCTGACCGAGCTCTTGCCGCTGCTGGTACCGATTCCAAGGTCGCTGAGATCGTTCGCATCATCGTCGTTGTACACAGCTAAACTAATGCTCGGCTTACGACCTCTGTTGCCGCGCTCTTCCATCATCTCCGAGAAAGTTTTGTTTCGACGGCGTTGACGATCATGTTCCTCTAACTCGAGCTTTTTTACCTCCACCACGCGCTCAATTATATGTTCCTGTCTCTTCCTTCGGCTACTCTTCCAATTATCTAAATTCTACAAGCAGAATGTTATCGTTCTTTAAAAAAAAAGTTGTATTAAAACCTTACTGTATAAATAACGTTTAAATAAAATTTGACATAAATTCATATAAGTAAAATTTTTATATTGTAAAACTGAGTCTTACCGATTGCCAATCTTCGGGATCATCACGAACTTCTTGTTTAATTTTTTTTACCTCCTGGACCTTTTGTAGCTGTTCTTGCGCAGTTCGATAGAGCGAACATGGTCCGACCTTGACGAATTGCAAAGGATTGGTCGCTTGTTTAGGAGGTGTTTTTAAGGTCGTTTTTAATTTTGGTGGTTCGTGAGTCATCTGTGCGAGAATAGATCATGTTCAATAATTATAAACACATTCTCTTAATTCTGATCAATCTAATTTTTACAACTACGATTTTTTCAATCTCTCTTAAATCGAAAGAATTTCTAATTTACTTTGTATATAATTGTCTTTTGAAAAACACTTCTTACGTAAAACAATTACTAACCATCCTATCGTTTCGTCGTTCAGTCGCGGCAGTTTGTGACGAAGCAGGCATCCTTTCCTCTTTCCTGCTTCTCTTACTTTTTCTAGATACTTCTCCCTCTTCAATGTTGAACTACACTCCTCTGTACGACTCGGCCCATCCTATGTATTGTTCCTGAAACAAAACACCGAAACTTGAGGAAAATAGATTGGCCAATGTGAGCCTGAACACAGTTGACGGCGTGTAAAATTTTTTGTAAATTATTTTTATTCAAAAACTTTACGTTTCGATCCCCGGGTGGGATCATCTTCAGAAATGAAATACAAAAAAAAACCTGTGTAATAATAACAGAATACAATCAATAATACAAATCAAAGAAATATATCAAATATAAACGCAAATTACTCACACAATTAAATAAGAAACGATATTTTACTCGCTAGATGTACGTCAACAAACGTATTGACATGAGAGACAAATTAAAATATAACGTGTTGTTTCTCTCACTGTTGTGACGAGAATGCCGACAAACCGAAAATATAAATATAAAGACAGAGACAGAGAGAACCAGAGACACCTATTGCAAAAAGAGTAACCAACCATTTACAATTTCTTAAACTTTTCGATTAATGGTAAGTATGCATTGTCTAGTAAATCCGTATCACTCTGCAAATTAAGACCGGCCGATTGCTTCTTAATATAAAGCATCTCAGAAACAAGACGCTTTGTATAAGAGTGTTCCTCATCTAATATACGGATATTACTCCAATCAAATTCGTGGTTGAAATTAATTCTATGGTCGGTAATAACAGATTGTTGCAACGAATGTGGCTTTTATATTCATTGATACGTGTATTGAGCAGTCTTTTTGTTTGGCCAACATATGAAGCCCGACAATCACCGCATTTTAAACAATAAACAACATCAGATTTAGATGAAGGAGGCAAAGGATCCTTCTGAACACGAATAAACTTTGAAAGTTTATTACCACTCACAAAGGCAAGCCTCATGTTAGTTCTAGAATTAACAAAATCAGCCACACCCCTCGCGACCGAGCGTACATACGGAACAACGAAAAATTTATTTTATCTATTTTCCTTAAGTTTTTCACAAAATTGGAGCCTTTATTGATTTAAAACACCAAAAGTCGTTGAACAATGTTAAATGTAAAATTAATTAAATAATTAAATATCTAGTAGGAAAGAAATAGATTATTTGCGTTTCTTTATTGTTTACACAATTCCTTTTCTAATGTAATAAACAATAAAGTAACGCTAATAATCTATTCTCTTTTTGTTGGATATATTTTGCTCAAGTAAACTTTCATCGAAGTTCATCTTCCGAGAATGTAGAACGTTTATCGTCTCTTGTATAAATATTATCGGATTCGGTTTATGTTCGTGCGTCACATCCGCTGCACGTACCTATGTTATTTTTGTTTCAAAACCGCATATTATCATCTTCTCATAAATAAAATTAACAAATATGTCATGGCATTTAATTTTAATTTTCGTAAAAATTTATATAAAATACCACTTCAAAATTGTATTTTAATAAAAATAAGTGTAAAATATATTACAAAGACATTTTGGAACATTTCTGTTTTAAAACCGTTCTTAAAACTCGGCGCGGAAAATTCGTTCTCCTCTATTACATTTCCTCAATTTGATGCTATAAAAAAGAACATCTAGCAAAGAGTATTTCACAATCAGTATCAAAGTGTTCTTGAATTCTGATAAAGTGAACACTGAAATGTACACGAAACGTCGATATGAAAATGATACTCGGTTCCAATTCGAAAATCATTTTTCCGAAATTTTTATAACACACCGCGAAAACATCCAATTTGAATCACATTTTTTAATGATCTTACCAATGACACTATATATCAAGGATTTCGTTAATAACAGTCGGATAACTCGCGATAGCACATAATTTATGTGTGTCGCGGTTTTATAAATTTCCATACGTCCGCGATTGTATATCAGGAATATATTCTCATGCGATATCTATGGTACGCACGCGGTTTCGCGATGATTTGCGCTGATCAGTCGTGTGTACCGATGCGATACAAATGTGCGTGCAAAGACGAGCAACATAACGAGAATAACGTGTTTCTCAGTCGTGCGCAAAATGCAAATTTCTTTTTTTGTTCTATTTTTGTCAAAATAATTCAAGTCGTTGTTAAAATTGAGAATTTATTAATTTTTTAAACGAACGCAACGTTTTGTTGTGTTCCGCTTTTTATATTTTTTTCTTATTTCTTTCTATCAAGAAATTCGCCTGTTTTTATTTAAAATTTTACGAGTCTTGATTGTATTTTGATTTTGCACATCGTCTGCCCTCGCTGCAAAAGCAAACAAACCTTTCGAAGGCAGTTCAGAACGAACGAAGCGGAATGCAGACTTCAGAGAAGGAAATCGACACGAAGATCGCGAAGAAGAAGTCAAGGCTGAGATATTTCTGTCGCTAAAGCTGGCTCGCGCACGCGTAACTGTCGGTTTTCCAGCGGTTTTATTTCGTTCATCTGAGACCGCGGTAAATAACCACGGGCGCAGCAGTCAATCCGATTATCTCCGCTTGCTGAACTTTATATGTGCCTTTTCATTTTTGTTATTAGACTTGTATGCTCTGTATTCGCATGTGCTTTCTATAAAACTCGCTAGATATAAACAACATAATTTGTCACGGAAATGCATGTATGTATAATGACAGCGTTAAAAGACAGCGATAGACACAACAGGTTGTTTTTGTATTATTTTTCTATCATTATAACAGCGAGATGTACAAAACTAAATAAAAAACTCAATATGCTTTTTGACAGAAAACTCTTGATAAAGCGATATCTTACAAAACTCTTTAATCGTGAGATTTATAAAAAAGTGTTCACTTGAAGACATTTTTATTTTTGCGATCTCTTATTCCGCTTGTACTTCGTCCGCATGTCTACTTTGATTTTTGTTTTGTCAGACGCGTACGACGTCTCCTTAAAGAGACATTACCGTAACGATTTTATGATGCATAAAATGATTACTTTACGCCATCAATCTTTCTGGGAAGTTGACTTCGATCTTCTATTATAAACTATGTCAGAGCGTTTTACGGTCATCGAGCACTCTGGTCATCATACACCATAAAAACGCCAACTAGGGCTACAACGTCTCATCTCGTCTTTGATTGGTCAACGCTGATCGCTATATTATAGAACTACTTTCCATTTTTTTTATTCTGGGTTTGCTGTCAAAGATTCTCCATGTTTATATATCCCATGATGTCTTTACACATGACTGTGCCATATAAGCTATAAAACAATTCCCAGTATGTACATACAAGTCTTGCTATATACACATATATCTCTCTTTATGCAACTTGGAGTTAATTAAAAACTTTTCAACAAAAAAGATAAAAAATGGCGTAAATACACGCACAACACGTATTGTATTGTATTTAAAGTGATTTAATTTAAAAACTTAACTGCTTTTAATCTTATACGAGAAAATTTATTTTCTATAATTTTATTCTATACTACAAAAAATTCTTTCTCTACAAAATCTATTTTATTTTAAAAGAAATGATATCAAAAAGTAGCATCAAATAAAATTGTGTACGTTATTACATTATTGGAAAACAATAGAAAATAATAAATAAAATAATTTCTCTCTTTTGACGCAACTTGGGTTAATTAAAATAAAGTTGTAAACAAATCTATACGCGTTCTAAAACTGACATGTTAAATTGCGGATCTCTCATCACATTTCATAGTCGTTATTTTCCGGTACTGCTTGCGCGGGCGTGTATCTCGAAAATTATTGGAGTATATTTTCTCCTTTTTGTCAAACTAGAAAATAAAATGTACGAAATATAGATACTCTCGTCGTTAAGACAAAAAAAGAGAGAAAACCGGAGATTTACAACGCGTTTATGATGCTGCTAATCCAGACGACTGATCAAACACATTCACAACAAAATATCGTGAACGCAACATAGAGCCGGCCTTGGTGTTGATTCAGACAGGGCATACGAACAGAACTCGCACATACGATCGGTATGCACGCATAGACACATTCCCTGGGCCCAGGGCCCGATCGCGTGAGTGACCTCACGTGTGTGCGTAGAAATACGATGGAGAAACTTACATCTACACTCTCTTGTGTACCGGGTACCTTTCTTCTCTAAAACGTGTATATATTCCCTCTTTCGATCACTTTACAATAATATTCCAATGTATTCTAGAATCTGGATTGTTGCAACATATATAATTTAATTTAACTGTTTTATTTATGTATAGAAATATAAAAACGTCACATAATAAAATAGTAAACATATCGTGATCTTGACTAAATTAAAAAATAATGCATAAACATGTAAAATGTATCCAAAAGTACAAGTTCTTTTTATAAATTAGTAAATACGATTAACTATAAATTGTGTATCATTATAATATTTATTTTTATATATTATATATTATATTACATATTACTTATTTTTATTTATTTTTTTTATATTTCTATTTTGTGCATCACTTTTTAGTTGTTAGCTAAATAAGAAGTCAAGTTAAAGTTAAACTCAAAACATTTTGTTTAATTTATCTGTGTTTGAAATAAATATTATTTAAAACATTCTATACATGCTCGTACTTGGCCTTATTTATTTTAGTTTATAAATACTTTTCTGATATTTTTACTCTCTTCAATAAAGATACAAGAATTGAAAGATTTATCGCGTGAAAAAAAGTGTCAAGGATATTAGGATGCGCATAAGTTGTCCGTAATCGCGTTGTTCGTAACGAACGGTGTGTCAAGCTGTATGCTCGCGAAAGAACACCCTGTACGTGCGGAAAGAAGATGTGCACGTGTGTTTGAAAGAGTTGTGCGTATCTACGAACTGGCCGTTCGCGCGCATCGATCGTGGCATGGGAAGACGTGTGCGCGTGTGTGTACGTTTGTTTGCGTGGAGAGCGGTGGCTAGGTCACGGTCAGGGCGATGCCCTCTTCCCTTGGGAGAAAGAGAGGAGACTGCCGTTGCTGGTGATGCTAAAGCTGCCTGCGGGCCACGCGACCGACGACAACACGACGAGTCGCGCGTACTTATATACGAGAAGAGCCTTCCCTTCTTCTCCTCCACCCTTCATATTGTGCGTGCTTTATATCGCGATCGGACTCACTGAGAACTCA